AGTCGGGTACAATCACCTTATTTCAGTTTAAACGCGTCATTAGAGGACTTTTCCCACAACGGACCGACCGCAAGACTCCAACGTCTGTCAGGCTGCAGCTGAAGCTGCGACACACGCTCGGACCACGAGTCACCCGGTGCCGGCTGAAGACGGGCTTACTCAGCAGGCCTCTAGATCAGACCACAATGGGTTCCCGTCCTGCAGATGGCGTACTTCATTGGCCGGATGGGGAGCAGCCCGCGGGCCGGCTGCGGCGCTGAGCCCGGTAGCAGTGGTGTGCGTCGATACAGCTCGGCGGTAGCATTTCTGACCGCGGCCCGGCACCGTGTCATCCTTCAGTAGCCGCAGCCATTGCTCCATTGCTGTCGGGAGCGCCGCATTTTCAGCTCGTTTCCCTTCCACGTAATTCTTTAGCCGAGTGCGATCCACGCGGCTTCGATACCTCAGCCAGAATTCCTCCCAGCCACGTCCGACCAGGCTCCCTCCCCACCGTGTCCTCTGGAACCGCTTTACTTCCGGTCCACGGCGGCCTTCTGTCAATGGCAGACCGGCGGCCACTGTCGCCGACAGCCGGCCGGGTCCGGCCAGGGTCACTGGCGGACAATTAGCAGCCAGACGGCGACCGCACGCTCCGGCGACGCCGCCGAGCTCAGCACGACTCGTGCTGAGTGCTGCATCCTGCCGACTGTGCGGCCGCCGACGCCCTGCCTGGGGCCGTCCACGCGCCGCGCTCGTGGCACACTCGTGGCACAAAAGGCCGGCTACATTTGCCGCACTGCGGTCCGTCCGTTGTGTGAAACAACACATTATCGTCCTTAACACCATTATTTCCGTTCTGTCCACGGAAGAGATTGCCCGGCTGCGAAACAAGCAGGCCGCAGTCGTGGGAGAGCTGACTATTTGTTCATAAGCCGGCGTGCTGCTAGACACGGCCGGCTGTGCTGATGGGACGCAGAGGGAGGTGCGCTTTACTCCCATGATCAGGGCCGGCAGGCACTGTGTGTGACATTTACCGTCGACGTTAAGTCCAATGTCTCGTTTTTTCAATGGTAAATGGTTTGGCACGGCAGTTTTGAAGACAGTTCTCTTCACAATTTTCACAGAAAGCAAACTCTCAATTTAAAAAACTCCGCCAAAAATCGGTCAGCGAATACCGATTCCTCCACACACCGTACAACAATATCCGACATGACTCGGCTGGCGGCCGACACAGGGTCGGTCCGGAGAGCCAGTGACTGCCCAGGCTGTCCGTGGAAGGAAGCCTTGCTGCGACCTGAGACCGGGCATCCCAGACGTGGCGTTACGGTCAAGGGAGAAAATCGCTTACGGGCAGTCTGACTCCGACTCGACGCTTTTTTCCACTGCGGTCAGTCGTGCTGATCCTGTCTCGACGTTTTTTTTCCACTACGGTCAGTCGTGCTGATCCTGTCTCGACGTTTTTTCCACTACGGTCAGTCGTGCTGATCTGTCTCGACCGTTTTTCCACTACGGTCAGTCGTGCTGATCCTGTCTCGACCCTTATTTCCACTACGGTAAGTCGTGCTGATCCTGTCTCGACCCTTTTTCCACCTACGGTAAGTCGTACGTTTAAACCGCATGCGATCTAGCCTTATCTCCAGACTAATGAAACCATTGACAAGGCGAGGGTTTTGACGGCCAAAACAGAGCGTCTTCCATTCGGGATGCGCCCTTTACGAAGCATCGACCTGTACCCGGAGGAAAGTCCTTCCTTCGCGGGGTCACGGGATTCTGCTGAATAGCTGATCGACAGAAACAGAAAAATGTCCATGACAACTTGCAGCTCAACGTAGGCATTGGACGCGTGGTATAGCGATTGAGCTTCACTATGGATAGATGGCACGTGAAGCCGGCGTAAGCCCGTGAAACCGGAAACATGTGGTGACTGGCGTCATCACATGTGCTTCAGTCCCGGATCGGCTTGACATAGTCACATTCATGGCACCCAAAAATCAAAACTTTGAATACCCAGATCCAGACTTCGCTCCGGTGACAGCGCCCCTTGGTCTCGATCTCCGTCCACGCAGGCAGACTGTCCAAAGCGGAATCAATTCTATGTTTCGATTCCAGACACTTCCTGGAATCGACTCTGCCAATAACGAAATCCATTCATCTTAAGTGAAGGAGCGTCTGGGGCACCAGTCCAAACTCCCCTCGGGGCGACTGACTCTGCGTGACACCGCCCCTGCGCCCGCCCGAATGTTAACTTGGTCAGAGGGCCGGGCTGCGCGCGGCAAATGTATTCAAATCGACGGCGCCACTCCGCGAACCATTACCGTGCTGCGTCAAACCTGGCGTTCGGAGGGCGCCCGCCGTGGCGTTCGGAGGGCGCCCGCCGTGGCGTTCGGAGGGCGCCCGCCATGGCGTTCGGAGGGCGCCCGCCATGGCGTTCGGAGGGCGCCCGCCATGGCGTCCGCCAGTGGCGGGCTCAAAACGCTGCGCGCTGGTTGGGCTACTCCGCTGGTTTTCCCCGGTCTACGCTGCCAAAGCGCAGGCAATCCCATTTCGCAAAGACGTCAGCCTGAACTTCCAACATCGTGCGATAGTTCTCATTGTGTCAGTTTACTGCACCGTATCGCACTCCATAATCGCAGCGAACTGTCCGCACAGACTGCTGCAAATGGACCCGACCATCTGAACCCGACAGGTCCGGCGGCGCAGTGATTTCGAGCGCCGCGTCGGGCGAGCGGATGACACGTGACCCGGCCCGCCCTGGCACGCCAGCCGGTCCTGTTTACAGCAGGGGAACGAGACCTCGGCCGGCGCAGCAGGCATGGTTCGCTCCGGGCAGGGGGAAGGGGAGGAGTACAGGCCTGCGGGAGTGGTTAGAGTAGCCATGAGTTTACGAACGGTGCCCTGGAAACGGACAACCAAAGCGGTGTAGTGATGTCACTAACGCGATGAGGTGTGAGGGGACCACCATTTAGGCGCACAAAGCCGCCAAGTTCCGTGATGTCCTCGCCCTTCGTGTTCGACTGCGGGGGATAAGGAGCGGGCGGCGTGCAACAGCACACCTCACGTTATGGCGGGCTAAAGCGTGCGCAGTGTCGAGGCGCGGCGGTGATGCGCGGGGAGCTGAATAGCTGCTTCTGCGGCACTCGCAGCGCAGCCGTGGCGCCCCCGCGGCGGTGACGCGCGGGGGGCGGCTGAATGGCTGCTTCTGCGGCACTCGCAGCGCAGCCGCGGCGCCTCCGCGGCCGTGACACTACCAGTCACCGATGCAGGATGTTTTTGTCCGTCTTTGCGGCGCCTGCCAGCGGCGTTGCCGATCAATTCGTATGGGCGGCGAGCCCAGGGTGGACTAGGATGCATATTTCCCACGTAAAACTTTAACATTGGTCATAGGAGCGGAGTAGCAGTCACGCACAGTCACGTCAACCACTGAGATTCCACCGTTACGTCCATGCTGACCCGTAAATGTGGCGAAGCGTTCGTATTAACCTCAAAAAACGCCGATCCGGTCGTTACTGGTGCTCTGTTTTTTAGCAATCTCTTACCAATTACCAATTTGTCTCTAACCTCTCTTACCAATTTTGAAGAGCCAAAGTGGCATGGGTAATCATGTCATTATATCTGCGACCCAGCGCGGCCCTACACCGCTAAGGGTCGCACAGCAAAACATTTGCGTGTCCGGCACTGGCCAGAAACATCACAAGCAAAGCTAGACTCGATTTAATTTCTACGACTCTTACTGCAACTGTCCCAAACTTCAAGATCCAATGCGTTGAGGGTGAGAGCAAGTCTTCGAACTCCATCGCGCTCAAACGGCACCCTAACATGCCGTTTGACACTACCATGCGATGTCAGCGTAGCCGATAATGTAAAATACAAATAAAAAAAGCTATTAAGGCGAACAAATACACCATTTCAGCCTCGTGTTTTGGAAATCAGCACCTTTCCGGCGTGAATCAATACCAGTCAGACGGAACGAACAGGGCGGCGGAGTCGCTCAGTCGGTAGCGTGCTCCGGTCCCATGTCGGCGGCCCGGCTCGACTCCCACCTGACACGAACGCCTCCGGGCGCTGATTGGCCGCTAAAGGCGCCACCGCTCTGTTAGGGTTGCGCGGTGACGCGGGCCGCACCTTTATGAAAAACGGAAGGGACTAAAGCTGATGACGGGCGTCAGCAGCCGAGGTCAGCCACTATCACTGTAAGGACCGTCGCTCGTGATTCCTAAGGAACGGACTACGGCTGATGACGGGCGTCAGTAGCCGAGGTCAGCCACCATCACTGTAAGGACCGTCGCTCGTGATTCCTAAGGGAGGGACTAAAGCTGATGACGGGCGTCAGCAGCCGAGGTCAGCCACCATCACTGTAAGGACCGTCGCTCGTGGTTCCTAAGGAAGGGACTGAAGCTGATGACGGGCGTCAGCAGCCGAGGTCAGCCACCATCACTGTAAGGACCGTCGCTCGTGATTCCTAAGGAAAGGACTAAAGCTGATGACGGGCGTCAGCAGCCGGGGTCACCCACCATCCCTGAAAGGACCGTCGCTCGTGATTCCTAAGGCAGCTGGGCATCGGCAGGGATGTAACTGCTAATCCGTTCGGAGTATCAATCTGAAACTTACACGGGTGGAATATACGGCCCAGAGCACCACTGCACCGCACGAATCGACTTCATAACGCATTCGAAGCCCTGCTTTTGATACTTGGTCAATATCGCTCGGCCGGCGGTTGGCGGCCGTCGGTGACTACCGCGCGGTCCGTGGAGATTGCAACGCCGGGCGGCGGTATTCTTGCGCCAAAACGCTGCGAGCACGCACGCCACACAACTATCACACGCATTTCCACGCATGCTGGAAGACCTTCGCAGCACAGGACATCCTCTCTGAAGAACCCCTCCCACTCCCCGAAGGAAATCTTGGATGACCGCTTGGTTTCTGCCTTGACGATCTACCCAGGTTGATGATTGGAACATCGACCTCTACCGCCGCCGCTGATCGCAGGGCGGCGCGGCGACATAGCACGGAGTCCGACTGACCTGTCACCTTCATGTTGGTCTGACAGGGCGCAGAACACGACGGACAGTTGGTGGGGAAGACGAGCACTTCATTCTTCAGCTGGTCGGCCGTGACCTTGTCGGGGTCGATCCGGCTCGTGTCCTCCTGCGGGGTGGCAGTCACAGCGTTGGTACACGGCAGGCACGAGCGTGACGCCACAGTTACACACCTGTGCCGCGGGCGAACGCCGAAGCCAGCTGAATCTGAGACAGCACAAACCTCCGTGCGCAAAATTTTACTCTAAAACTGACAACTTCTGAGTGACAGCGATAAAAGAAAAGTAAACAACGCGGAGCGAGACTGAAGCACCAATGTGAACGCAGGTGTCTGGCCGACAATCCATGTCCAGGGCTAGGTGCTGCTTTTTGTTGGGTTGACGCGAACGTGACGCGACCGGCCGGCAGTGGTCACTGTCACTGTAAGCGGCGAGTCCTCGATTAACAAACTGTGAAACGAAGAGCAATACGTCATCACCTCCAGGCAAATCCACCGATCTCCCGGCGCACGGGAGTCGCCGCGCGTTGTCACTGACTGGCCAGCCATCATATGCTCTCACATTAGCCAGACACCAGGTGTCGGACAGGGCGGCACGACGCCACCACGCCGACCCCCTGACTGTCTCGGGACTTAGTCAGCGGCCGTCGAGCCGTGCCCACCACCAGCCGGTGCCGGCGCCGGCGCCCGCACGCCTCGGTCGCTCGAGCCCAGGATCAGCAACCCGGACGCGCGGCGGCAACGGAGCCTGAACGGGACACCACCGCCCGTCGGATTTCGGGCTCATTAACAGCTGAATGAGGCGCGCGGCGAAGCCATTGTTTCGCTAATTGTCGTCTTGGTTCAGGTGCGTGCCGCCGCCGCCGTGGGTTTCGCCGGCGCCGCCCTGTGATGTGGGCGCGGACAATCGGGCGCGGCCGAGGCCGGCCCCGTTCCGGCGCACCCAATCAGGACCACCAGCGGGAGGCGTCGGCCGGTGGGGAGGGGTTGCGCCGCAGCGCGTGTGAGAGTCGCCGCCGCCGCTGAGACGTCTAGCGGCGTGTCCACCAGGACTCGTCGGCCAATTGTGCAGCGTCAACAGCAGCGGCTGGCCGGCGCACGCCCAGCCAGCAGCGCATGAATGACAGCTGTTTGCGTTGAAGGCAGAGCTGACTTCAGGAACGCCTGCGGCGACCCACCGGCGCCCCTTGGTCGCCGGCGGAGCGGGGTCGCGCCCGGTGCACGTCGCGCAGCTCCCGCGGAGCGACTCGTTCCATGAATTAAGGTTCGGGCGGCGGCGCGGCGTCCAGCACGGCCGCCGTGGCGCCGGTCGGTGGCCAAAGGTCGGCCGCGTCCCAGCTGGGGCGTGAGCGACGTGCGGCCGTGCCTCACTGTCCGCTCTGGTGCGGCCGCTCGGCGGCGCGGCGGACGGCCGACTCCCAGCGGGGTGGCGGCTGCTCCGAAGCCCCAGCTCAGCCGACAACGCCGAAGCGGCGGCACGGCCCGGCCAACGCCCGCCGGCCCATCTGATGAGCCTCCGGTCAGATGAAACCCACATCTTCGTTGCCCAAAAACAAGCCACGCATAGGGAGGGTGAGGGCCTGCTGCTTATGCCGCCCAACAGTCAAGGGGGGTACAGCGAGGTGAAAATAACGCTGACGTTTTCCACGGCTGTACATCCGCCGGTCTTGAAGCGAGTTCTGCTCCGAGCGACAGGCTCAGGTAGCAGGCTCAGGTGCAGGCTCAGGCGGAAGTCGTCTGTGCACGCAGTGCGTCCCACGTCCAGCTTAGGACGTGGTGTTGCAGAAACGGCCGCAAGCGGCCAACAGTCAGACCACCTGTTACCGAGTGTCGCAAATGTCAAGTGAAACCACTTCAACAGCGCCGCGCCCGACAAAGGTCAGATGTCAAGTGCCTGGGGGCGCCAGACCGCGATCGACACGTGTCTCGTGCCTCGTGGCACGAGCGGTCGCAGCCGGCCGCAACGTCCTCACAACACGAGAACACGACACACCGGCCGGCGCCGGCGGGCCGACCACATCCCCAAACGGCCAGTCAAAACGACGACGGCGGCCACTTGGGCGGCGATTGGCGGCGGTCTGACGGCGGCCGCTGCGTGTCCGGGCGGCGGCGGCTTCATAAACAAGCGCGCTGTCGGGCGGCCGGGGTCCGAACGGGCGCCGCTAGCGGGGCCGTTCGGGCGGCGAGCGACACTTGACCGGGCCGAGCCGGCTGCTGACGGACGCCCGTCCCGCAGCCGGCGCGGTCAGGCCACGCCCCCCCCCCCCCCCCTCCCCGCTTCCGCGCTGGCCGAGTGGGCTTGGGCCGCGGCCGAAGCGAGAAAACGCGAGAGAGAAGTGCGCGTGCAGCTCCAATGCCACGGTCGACGCGACACTCACATGCCCGTCATCTGGTCAGCTCCAATGCAACGGCCGGCCCAGCGCGGTGCGGGCTCCGGCGCCTGCGCAGAGTCACATCCAGGCTGCCGCCCAACAGCCTGCGCTATTGAGGCCGGCACCCGCTGGAGCCATCCGCTACTGCAACACTACGCACACCTTACCCCCTGAATACGCCAGCCGCAACAGCGACGAATGCCGCTCGCAATGTGGCGAAACACAAAACAGCTCGGACCATTGGGCGAGAAATGTGACGGCCTCCGCTCGCACGGGGCAGTCCGGCGGCCCATCAGCCAAACGCCGCAGATCCACTCAGCCATCGGCATTCTGCGCCAGCGCGTCGGGCCATCGGGGCGGTGTTTTGTAAAACAGCGGATAACTTCCCAAGTAGGTGGCCGCCCGTTTCCCGGTATTGCATCGCATTACATTAATCACTTAATGCCGCGGCGGCGGCGCGCGCGCGCCCGCCCAGGCCGGCAAACACGGCAAAACAGGCGCGTCCGAATGCTGGCCGGCGCGCCGACCACCGCCTAATACGAAAACACGGCGCTGGGAGGGGCGCGGCGCGGCGCGCCATAAACTGGCGCCGCGCCGGCGACGACGGCGACGCGGCTACGGGTCGGGCGAGCTGCCGCCGCCGGCGACCGGTCGCCAGCACCCCAGCCGGCGGCGGGGCGGTCGGAGGTGACCCGGCGGCGGGAGACCAGAGGTGAACCGGTGGCGGGAGACCAGAGGTGACCCGGTGGCGGGGCGACTAGAGGTGACCCGGCGGCGGGGCGGTCGGAGATGACCCGATGGCGGGGCGTTCGGAGGTGACCCGGCGGGGTGGTCGGAGGTGACCCGGCGGTGGGCGACTAGAGGTGACCCGGTGGCGGGGTGGTCGGAGGTGACCCGATGGCGGGGCGACTAGAGGTGACCTGGCGGCGGGGCGACCAGAGGCGACCCGGGGGCGGGGAGGTCGGAGGTGACCCGGCGGTGGGCGACTCGAGGTGACCCGGTGGCGGGGCGGTCGGAGGTGACCCGATGGTGGGGCGACTAGAGGTGACCCGGCGGCGGGGTAATCAGAGGTGACCCGGGGGCGGGCGGTCGGAGGTGCCCCGGCGGACGGAGATGGCTCGGCGGATGGAGGTGACCCGGCGGCCGGGCGGTGACCCAGCAGCGGGGCAGCCGGAGCTAACACGCCGCGGCCGCCCGGTAGTTCCATTCCCGGCTAGTCCCATAGTCCCGACTAGTCCCATCGGCATTCGACGAGCAGTTTCAGCCCGACTCGCAGTAATACTTTTCCTCAAATGTCCGGTGATAGTTGTTCGCTATCAAATAGTGATGTGCTCCCAGCCACAAACGATATCTCCACCCCTACGCGCATTGAATGTGGAGAACACGCACCAACGGAGAGAGAATCGGGTGGAGAAAGAAAAGAGAAGGCAGAGAGAATAGGGAAGAGGGGCGAGGGCGAAGAAATCAGGGGAGGGGAGCACGGGGAGCGCGTCGGCTCGCCACTGACCTGCGGCTGCGAACCGTCCGTAAACTCGTACTGGTCGTACGTGGACGTCTGGCCGACCAGTTTGTCCTGCTGGCGGCTGCGGGTGTAGGTGACCGAGAGCAGCTGCGGGTCCGCTGCCGGCGCCAGTCGGTTCTCGATGTAGCTGTTACCAGACGGGTCGTCCAGCACCTGCGGCACACAGCGCCCGGCGGCCGTGAGTGACGGGCGCCCCCAATCTCGCGTCGGGCCGTAAGGTTGCAGGTCCCACGGGTGGCGGGCATCCCGCTGGGGTTACGAGCCATCGCAGAGATGGGGCGCGGCGAGCCACCGGCGCCAGGGGTCACCGGCCACTCAACGTCAAAGGTCAAGGAGGGGCGGGACGGCGGATTCAGCGCCGGGGACATATTTATAAAATTTGGGAATTAAAAAAACATTTTTGGTCCCATCCTTTCAATGTGCAGCCATAGAGCTAACGTAAGTTCCTGAGATGTTGGGAATGCAGCTGCTCCTCCAATTAATAGTTAAGCAGCACCCATGCCAGCGTCCGTGGCAGGGATTACGGGCCCCGTGGTCGGTCACGCGTCGGTCAGGAGATAAGTTCACCGATCAGGTGGGAGGCACGCCGTAGGACCGGCGCCGACTTCATAGGCCGCTCACCAGGTCAGCGTCCACAGCTAGCGAGCGCGCCGGGCTAAGGCAGCCGCACGACACTGAGCAGCAAGAACGGCCTTTCCGCACCCCAGGCGGGCACCAAAGGGGGGGATGAAACGATTAGCACAATCACTCACGCACACGGCAATGGCTTGGCCATTATCAGCATTGGCAGAGCGTCGCTGAGGTGGCCCCACGGCGTGTCAGCAGTCTGCACTCCACAGCTCCACAGTCGCCGCCGTCGCAGCAATGTCGCCCCACAAACCAATCGGCCAGAAACCCCGGCCATCCTGCAGAAGGCAGGCCATCACGCCCGCCGTCTCGGCCGGCCCGGAGCCAGGCGCACCTGAGCAGCACACCTCGCTGATCGTCCTGTCCCCCCCCCCCCCCCCACTCCAATCAGATAATACGGCGCCGCGGGCCACATGGCCGGCCGGCGGCGCCCGGCCCGGACCCGAACACGGGTCGCGTTCGCGACCATAGGCCAAGCGAATAACAAGCACGCACGCGCGACACGCGCCGGCCGCGGCCTCGCACAGCGGGACGAGCGGCAACCCGGCAGCTCGGAGCTGCGAACGCGCCGACGTAGGCTCATCCTGGTGCACAGCAGCAGACACTGGCGCACAAGCGCAGACATTGGCGCAAGCCGGAGGACACTAACGCACAACGGCGGGCACTGGCGCACAGCGGCGGACACTGGTGCACAACGGCAGACACTGACGCACACCGGCAGACACTAGCACACAACGGCAAATACTGGCGCGGACGGCACCCCCGCGGCGGTGACGCTAGCACATGCCAGCGGACACTGACGAACGACGGCAGATACCGGCACACAACGGCAGACACTAACACACAACGGCGGACACTGACGCACAGCGACAGACACTGGCGCACGCCGGCGGACATTAGAGCATGCCAGCGAACACAGACGCACGACGGCAGATGCTGGCGCACAACGGGAAACACTAACACACAACGGCAGATACTGGTGCACAAACGGCAGACACTAACACACAACCGCGGACACTGGCGCACGCCGGAGGAAACTGGTGCACAACGGTAGACACTGGCGCATGCCGGTGGACATTAGCACATGCCGGCGGACACTGACGCACAACGGCAGAAACCGGCGCACAACGGCAAACACTAACACACAACGGCGGACATTGACGCGCGGCGGTAGGCATTGGCGCACGCCGGCGGACATCAGCGCATGCCGGCGGACACTGACGCACAACGGCAGATATTAGCGCACAACGGCAGACGCTAACATACAATGGCGGACGCTGGCGCACGCCGGCAGGCACAGAAGCACAACGGCGGACACTGGCGCACGACGACAGATACTAGCGCACAACGGCAGGCACTGGCGCACAACATCTGGCACTGCCAGCCAACGCAGATCACAACGAACGGTGGGAATGTTTGTAAATATTGCGGCAGGCAGACCCAATGTAACGGCACACACAGGCAGACCCAATGTATCGAGCTCACTGTGGCACTCACAACTAAACACGTAAATGAACCCACAGTTGAAACCTAGCACACCCTGGCAGACAATGGCGGCACGCCGGCAGCCCCTGCAATGGCGGACAACAGCGAACACTGCCGACAGGAGCCCCGATGGGCCCCGACGCGACGGGGGCGGCAGACCTGAACGCCGACACACGGGAGGACCTGCGGGCGGCGGGCTTGTGCCGACGACTCGCGTCCGGCGGGGCGTCGCTCACCAGGGTGGCCGCGGTGCGGAGAGCCAGCACGTCCCGCACCCGGCCGACGAACTCGTCAATCTTTGTGGCGGCGTCCGGGTCGAGGGCGCGCCGCACCGGCTGGTCCGACTCCAGGTCCTCGGCCGTCCGACTCAGCACGCCCTCCACCGTCGTCACCTCTGCAACGGCCGGGACGCGCAGGTCAGGTCAGGTCAGATTAGGTCAGAGCGACGACTGACACCTCTGCAACGGCCGGGACGAGCAGGTCAGGTCAGGTAAGGTCAGAGCGAGAACCGACGACGTCGTCACCTCTGCAATGGCCGGGACGCACAGCTCAAGTTAGGTCAGGTCAGAGCGAGGACCAACACTGTTGTCACCTCTGCAACGGCCGGGACGAGCAGGTCAGGTCAGGTCAGGTCAGGTCAGATGGAGAACCGAAAACGTCAACTCTGCAATGGCCGGTACGCACAGGTCAGGTCAGAGCGAGGACCGACATCGTGGTCACCTCTGCAACGGCCGGGACGCGCAGGTCAGGTCAGGTCAGGTCAGAGCCAGAACTGACACCGTAGTCACCTCTGCAACGGCCGGGACGCACAGGTCAGGTCAGAGCGAGGACCGACATCGTGGTCACCTCTGCAACGGCCGGGACGCACAGGTCAAGTTAGGTCAGGTCAGAGCCAGAACCGACACCGTGGTCATCTCTGCGACGGCTGGGACGGACAGGTCAGGTCAGGTCAGGTCAGGTCAGAGCGAAAACCGACAAGGTCGTCAACTCTGCAACGGCCGGGACGTGCAGGTCAGGCCACGTCAGCTCAGTGCACGGACCGACACCGTGATCACCACCGCAGCGATGAGATGTACATCAGGTGCGGTCAGAGCGAGGGAGTCGGTTCGGGACTAGTGGCGCCCCCTTTAGCGCCCACCTCTCATGCCAGCTTACAATCGAGGACGCCGCGGGTGCCCAGCACCGCGCCAAGACCATACGGCATAGGTTTTGTTAGCATGAACATCAAAAGGAAGGGCGGGGAGCAAAATGGATTTTGAATTCGTTTCTAATCATGCAACGACCCGCAGCTAACACTGCATCTTCCTCCGGACAGGAGGGGTAAACGCTGGGTGCTGCCGAAGTTCGGGGGTCCTTGCCCACCCCCATCTCCTCCTCCCCGCCACGGTTCTGGCAGCCTGGATCACATGTTTCAGGCACATTACGGTGCCAAGGCATGGCATTCCGTGAGCCCGGCATGATCTCACCACCGTCCTGGGGGAGCCGAACAGCGCTAGCGTGCGCGCGTCCAACCGCACAGAGCAGAATGACTTCGGCTGGCATGCCGCAGCACACAACACTCCACAGCAAAAAAGTCCGGCATGCTCCCAACGGTCACGTGCTGCGGGTGGGCGGGGCGCGCGGGCGGGCGGGCGGACCTGCTTTTTTGGCCGGGATCTCCAGCTCCAGCTCGGGCACGCGGATACAGGCGTGCTCCGACTTCACCAGCGTGCGGTCCATGTCGGTGGCCGAAGTCAGCTGCAGCTGAGGGTAGACGTCGAGCCAAAGGTCACGCCCGCCAGCCGCGAGCCGGCGCACACGGCCGCAACACAAATCTCGTCTGACAAGCGAGGGTACCGCAGCGTTCTGCGGACACTTCAAGGGAGGCGCCATAAAAATACGTGAATTCAGTTTACTGATGTTAAAGCTATGTTAAGTCTGGCAGCTTCTGTTAAAAATCTGCACAAACGTCAACATAACATAAAAGTATTGACATATAGATATACGGGTCGTGATACGTTCTGCCACTGTGCCAACCTGTCCCGAAGACCCCACTTAGACAGCTGGTTGGCAGGCTTCGACATGTGTCCATTGGCCCACGCCAGGAAGATCACACACCGCACCATGCATGGTCCCGCAGGATTCGTTAACGTTTATTATGTTCAACAGAGCGCCGTTAAGCATCACATCCCAGCAGCGCCACCTATGTCACCAATTTCTGTTTGTTTATCCCAGTTCATTTTCTTCGTGACATTGAGCCGTCCCATGTGCATTCACACACAAGTGTGGATCCTGGACAACATGACGGTGATGCTGCTGGCTGACTATATTAGGGGAAACTCGGTCTGGCGGCGACTTACTCACTCAGAGCTGTGAGCGCAGCTATGCCTCGCACCTTTTTCAGACAACGCAAACGAACCCCGTCGGGGAGGAGAGAATACAAGACCATACCTTGCTTTTTGCGTGAAGGACTGGTTCCATCGCAGGCACTTTGCCCAGAACCTCAAGTGCACTCAGTTACAGATTTAGGTGCTGCCTTCCCTACTTCACTCATTCAGTATGCCTGCAGAGGTCACAGAAGTATTTGATTCAATATGCCTGGCGTGGCAAACTGCACCGTCATCCTATCTCACCGTGAGCGTGATTCCCTTCTCCTGGATCTCCTGGCCTGACTGAATCTCGTTATTCTTGAAGCCGCATTCGGGACACTCAAAGGACATGAGGATCACTTCCTTGTAGAATGGAATTCTGGTCAGCAGAAGTCTGGTGGTGCCCTGGAAAGCAGTCCTGTATCAGCAGGTCACACGTTTTGGACGCTGTGATAAGAACACAGATGACCAAACGCATGGCGTCGTGTCGGCGCGACGCCCCAGCTGCGGTCAGTGGCACCCACCCTCCTCCGACCGGCGACCCTGACCAGCGGACTCCCCACGACGCTCCGGATGCCGGGCAGATTCCGTTGAAGCAGCGCATAGGTCTCAGTGATATCTTCCAGCTGGCTTTGGTGAGCCGTCCGACAGCTCTGTTAGTTTCACATGACCAAGAGAGGGTAGGAACTGGGCGATGGTGCCCAATGGCATCATTCAAAGATCCTCCACATCCCCAGCTCCCTGGTGGCCCAGGCTGGCACAAAATCATGCATATGTGCCAATGCAATGTGCATATGGTACAAGCTCTTGAACAGTTTATCCAGGCTTAACTGTTTGCAATATTGTGCTTGGTAGAAGCCAAGTATTCAACAAATCAGTAGCAGTGACAAACTCGCAGACACTCTGAGCATAACCTTGTGTCAGTCAAGAGGTGGCTCTGATCTCCAGTCTGAATGCTAATGGAGGTCTGTGGAGGAGATTGTCAGTGTCTCTGTTAAAATGTGTGTTTTCTGTGGGCCAGTGGCATGTAGCAAAGAGTGGACCAAAAACTTACACATATTACTCACATTTTTATGGCAGTTCATGCACAGGCTTTCAATCTCACTTGTGCCAGTATCTGCCTGATCAGCAGATAGATCTTCAAACACAGACCCCATGTTTGGTGCAGCCAGGACCAGTAACTGCTGGAAGCAAGAGCCAAGGGTTATGGTACATAGCACATTTACATCAATGACTCACTGCCTTAAAGCCTATTATAATAGGTCTGAAGTATGGAAGAGAGTGGTAGTAAAGGCTGAGAAAGTCATCACAGCTTTCAGACTGTCCAGCATTTGAATTTTCCAGTTGACTGGAGTATCTTGAATGCATCAATATGAGATACATGATTTGTCTGAAGCAGTTCATATGCATCAAACCATGATGGCAAGAGGGTGATGTGCCACCCCCAGCTCCTGACCAGCATGGAACAGAGATCTGACATGGTCTAGTATCCCAGCCATGACACAAACCCTGCACCTTGACATGTAAATGTGAAAGGCTGGGGGTGTTGATCATTGATGGGCTGGGGATTGTCCAGTGATGTGCTGTAATGTTGATCTAAGATGGCCTGTGACCTGTGGCCATCATGGCCTGCACTGGCCTGTGACCTGTGACAAACTGGTGTGACAGGCTGGCCTAGCCCTGCTGGTGAATGAGTACCCTTAATCATCACATTGAACCAGAGAGGATGTGAGGTTTCATGGACTTGACTTAGTTACAACTAAGTTATCCTCATGGGGGAGGAGGTAGGAGCACAGCCCCTCCCCCCCCCCCCCCCCTGCAGCTTTATGTGTCCTCTGGCAACAGTTATAGTTCATTGCTTGTGACTTGGCTATATCCAAGGGTTGAGCTCACACAAACCATTTATTTGTCAGTAACAGCATGACCATCCACATAATTCACAAGTCTCCCAGGACTCTAAAACAGGCCACATTTTGGCAGCTAGAAAAGCATGTGTCTTCACTGAACGAGATTGGCATGTTATCAGGGATTAGCCAGTGTCAAAGTGAGTTGATTTGCATGCATGCCACTTTTTTATATCCACATACTGCTGACAGCAGGCTAAGCAGGTGGCTAAAACATTGCAGAAGTACCCGCTCAAACCTCGTAGAGGCAGAAGAAATAACTTTCAATTAGGGTAGTTACATTTACCGCATGCCAACAAAATAACAATCAGTTTTATTGCCTGGAAACGTTCATCGGTGGCTCCCAGTAAAGACCCACAATTTCACAGGAAACAAGTCCCGAACAGATACTCCAACCAAACCCACCCTCACCTTCCTCCACCGCTCCCACCAGCACGTGCCAGGCGCAGCACCCCACAATGTACTAGAACGTGCGAGAGCGCCGTCCCGCAACACTTCGGAACACGCGTATCCGGAACGGAAGCTATTTGTATCATCTGCGTCATATATGTCTACAGATATGTTTCATGGTAGACATGAAATTGGCCGGACTGGTGAGAAATAATTGTAGAGAACTTTTAAAGACTTCTGAACTACTTGAAGACATTTCGTTTCATCGGAAGTACAAACTGTTGCAGTGTCACGTAAGTGTCATAAATATGTGTGTCATAAGTGTCATTCCGGCGAAAGTTTGGTCCTTTTGGAGGTGTTTATTGAAAAACACGGATTATTAAAATTGTATAGCTCTTTACTTCTCTCTAGATATTGTAATTTTCCTTCAGTTCTACGGGTCTTGTAAAATACGCTTTTGCCCAGCCGGCGGGTTAGCGCCGTCTCTTGTTATCACGTCGAATCTGGGAGGGCGTCGGGTGCGGGCCAGCGTGAGGTTGGGTCAGGAAAGTAGTATACCCACCCGAAGCATCGTTCGTGCCAGGTAAATGGTGTGTCACATGCTAGGGCTTTGATGGGTACATGCACATGTATCTGCGTTGAATAACGTGGAACATGAATCAGCTCATTTACTGCGACCGCGAAGTTAGGGTGTGGCGTGGGCTGGAAGGCATCAATATCAAGTCAACTGTATTTGCTACCAGCATTGTCATGACTGTTGCCTGTTTGCAATGCATTGTTGCGTTTGTGGAATCAAGACTGGAGCTAATTAGATGTGTATAAGGACTGCATGTTGGTAAAAACAGGTGTGCAGGTGAGGGTGCAGAAAATCTTGTTTTCACATCATCCAACTGGAATCTGGAATAAAGCAAGTGATTAGGGCTTCATTTTCACCCCATTTTTATGAAACAGAAATGCTGACCCATGCCTGGAATGTGCATTTAGCCCATACTTACACATATTATATTTGCATGTAAAATCTATATTTGGCCTGTTTTTTACCAACTAATGGCCAGCATCGTGTTTTCCTGCTCCTATACATTGGCGAGTTGGTATTGTCAGTGCATGAAACACTTGATAGTATAGCATTATGGTGATAGTATTTTGATTGTGGCAGTAGTAGCCATGTAGCTTTCATGCATTTCAGCTGTGTAGTCATATAGTGCCTACATTTTGGCTCTAAGATGCTATTAATGTGCTGTTTCGGGATTCTTGTTGGTGTTGTATGCTGCAAGGATTCTGCCTTATGTGAATGCTATTTTGAATGGAGATACTCATGAACACCACTCCTGATAGTTGTGAATGATTGTGGAGGTGATGATCTTACTATGAAGCATTTCTTATGCAGTTTATTATGTTGTATGCCATTTCAAGCTTGTTAGGCAAACTGTTTAATAAGATGGGCTTTGTTCTGCAATATTGCAGTATCACCAATTTCAATTGCTGATTGTTTTAATTGATTGATCAAGTAAGTGGTTGACTAACTTGATTTAAGCTCAATTCAATTTAATTCACATGGAAAGCAAAGTTTCTGCAGTCAAAACTAATGAAAAATACTAAGCATAGCCCAGGTCCTGCTGTCAGTAGTCATATTATCATAACCGTAATAAGCAACTGTCAGTCTATAATATATATCTATATATCTATATAGTATATAAAACTAACAAATAACTGTCAGTAACCATGTCAGTAACCATAACCATAACAGAGGTTACGTATCGCAGTGACACAATATAGACATGTTATTGTGTGCAACCACACTGAGTTTAAACAGTTATGTTTGTCACAGTGTGGGGAAAATAAGAAAATAAGTTCAGGTGTGCTTGAGCATAAACCATGGATTGTCCAGCTCTGGTAGCATTTCTAGAGGATTGATATTAAAACTAGGTTTGATGGGTAAACCAGGGAAGGATAACATGTGAAACTGAGATCGGACCATGAAAGCTATGTGGGCTTAATGCACAGTTCACTGTGAATGTTAGTCACTCCAAAATGTTGGCATTTGGAGTAAGCTGGTTTATTTTTTTGTTAGCTGATGTGTATGCCCAACAAAGACAGTAAAAACAGGACATTCTTGGTACCACCTGCTGATAGTAAGTGTTTTCCATAAACAAGAAAAGTCATAAATGCAGGATAACATACCATGAGGTGTTATCCATGCACACACACGTAGCAAGTTTCAAGCCAGTACCTTTATGTGTTCCAGACTTATAGTATCTGTAAGGTTACCATTGATATGCAGCTTTGGGGAGCCAGCAGACCTTAGCCTCATTCAAACCCCAGAGTGATCAGGTGCATACTGATACACACCTACACTGCACACCTCAGACAAAACAATATTGAGATGTGTGTGACAAAACCACATTCATTGCCAACTCTGCCAACTTGAGTCTACCCTGTGTCACCACCCTGGCTGGCACCACTGACTGTGGCCCGGCACATGTTCCACCACTCTGTGCCCTCATCTTGTGTCACCATCCCGGCAGGCACCCCTGACTGAGCCCCGGGCGCCCACTCCACCGCCACCATGGCCAAGAACACGGCCAACTCGACGTTCCGCAAGATCGACGTGGACCAGTACAACGAGGACCTGTACCGCGAGGAGGAGGGCGGCGAGGCGGCGGCCGGGCCGGACGAGGCGCAGCTGCAGCAGATGCTGGCCGCGGGCCGCACCGGCGACGCCCTCCAGTACGTGCTGCAGCTGGCGCCGGCCGGCAGCCGGAGCCAGCCGGCCAAGGACGCGGCGCTGCAGGCCGTCATGCGCGTGCTGACCGCCTTCCGCACGGCCGAGATGGAGCCGGCCGTGCGCGCGCTCAGCCAGGAGCAGGCCGACCTGCTCATGAAGTACGTGTATCGCGGCTTCGAGGTGCCCTCCGAGGGCAGCAGCGGCCACCTGCTGGCCTGGCACGAGAAGCTGTACGGCGTCGGCGGCGTCGGGTGCATCGTGCGCGTACTCACCGACCGGAAGCGGGTGTGAGTGCCGCCCGGCCGCGCCAGGTGGGTGCCGCTGACACAGGCGCCGCTGCTAGGGTACCGCCTGAGAATTAGCAGGGGTGTAGCTTCCTTTTCTGTTGGAGGGGGGAGGCTCCAGCCACCTAACTGAGAAGAAAGCAGGCCAGATGAGGAAACCCCGTTTTGTTGGTGTATATCAGGGATAGGTTTTGCTATTTTTATCTGCTCAGCCTCCCCCCTGCCCCTACCTTTGTTGCATAAACTGCAGCCTTCTGTCGGATGTTCTTTTCTTGGAGATTTTGGAAACCTGAGGTTTTGATTCAGACCTAGGCTGAAATGATTCAGGGTTCAACTCAAAATGTGGGGTGTGCAAGAGACATGCAACTGGGACCTGTGGGTAGCCATTGTCATATTGGGCTGGGTAGGGCCGTATTAAGCAACGTTAAGTTTGGTTCGGTTATATCGAATTAGTTTTGGTCATGCTGCCAGTACACGTGTTATTTGGAAACAATCATTTGGACTGCATAGACAAGACCTTTTCAAAAACTGATACCGCAAGACGTCCGTGACAGCTGGGTAAAACTGGCTGTTGTTGGGTTGCGTACCACGTATGCGATTTGCAGCTGGGCAGGGCTAGGCTAAGGTTGAGTTGTGTACCACCTATGCGATTTTCGGCTGGGTGAGGCTAGGCTAAGGTTGAGTTGTGTACCACCTATGCGATCCGTAGGCCGAACGATAGCTATCCCTTACCATTGGTGTGGTGCCACATATGTCCTTAACGATCCCGTAAGGGACCGAAAAACACACGTGGCTTCAGAGCTCGGTCATTGGGTTGTATGACTGTGATTCGGGTTCTGGTTCGGTCCACTAACAGTGTGTGGTGGAGTCTGACTTAGTGCGAGTGCCGGCACCCGGACTAAGATTACCAGGACTCGGAGTCCGACTCGGAGTCCGACTCGGTTGACAGCACTCGGCCCCATGACTGGTCAGCGGGGTGGTGGTTATCGACAGGATCCAGCGTTATTTATATCGAGATATATGCGTGTTCTCTGCTGTGGAACAATAGCGCGTGTGGGTGTGCTTGATATGAGCGGGGAAGGGCTTTTACTCACTTTTTTTGGCATTTATGAGTCCCCATGCTGAAAGCGGCCTACCTTCAATACACCATGTGGTATTGGTCACTGGCAACTTCACCATGAGTGTTGGCTTGGAACGTCAAGTGTTATCGTGATATATGCGAAATGTCGCTTGTTATCTTTGCTTAGCAAGTACCTCCTGCAGATACCAGAAGGTACCTGCTTAACAAAGATGAGAGCGAGCGTGGTGGTTTGCGGTGAACCATCGCCCTTGTTCGAAGAGCGGTGATTTTTGGCGTAAGAGCTCCTTACTCATAGTACACATGAGTAGACAATTTAACACGCCCTCTTCAAGTTGAACATCTTAAATGCACATGGGACCGGATATTCATGTTTGTATAAATCTTATTTGATGGTGGGGGCGAATCTAAATGCGATTTGCGTCTGTGGCATGACTTGGTGCGCTGGTAAGGCATCATTGCTCGGCTTCCGTTGGTGTGAGACGTGTGTTGACAGAGCGTTCGTTTGTGCGATGTGTCGGCAATTATGTCCACTAATTGTTTTACATTAGTCGTGTCGTACAGAGCATTACATAAGTAATTCGAGACCATGGTTCTGATTGTCCTGAAGTTACTGTGTACATTGCGTCAGTGGCGTTTACTTTGCCTTTGCATCCCACGCCTTACCTTTATGGTTTGCAAGCCTATCTGAGATGTTCCCGGATCGTCCGTTCTACCCTGTCTGGCGCACTCTCTGCAAGGATGGTTGTCCGCGAGGTTATCACCGTCCATGCTCGAAATCTAACCCTGCACCCGGACACCGGACGCACGGATCGGTGTGGCAGCGCTGGTATTGTGCATTTGTACCAGCAGTATCACTGCTCCCGCACGTGCGTTTCACCGGAAGTGACGCCGATATGAGGCGACGCCGACGGAGGTAGCCTTGGCCGCAGACGTTGTGCCTGGGCCCACTCGTCCCTCCGTGGTTCAGATGGGGAGCACGGACTCATTCGGACCTCTCCCCCCACCCCCCACATACACACTACCAGGCCACAAACGGATGGAACGTGGGTGGTGGACACTGACAGCGGGGATTCACGATTTAGATCACTGGTTAATATGAAGCGAACATTACTGAGGTCTGTCGGCGTCGTTGGTCGGGTCCGTCGTTGTTACTGCCTCCATGCCCGTGAGCTACAACCAGCTATCCACACCCGATTCCTGCCTACATGATCCGGACGCCTGAAGGTCCGGTCGGAGCCCCGCTCAGCAGAGAGCCGTTCTCACCCGGTACCTCCCACAGGGAACAGGCGGACGACCCAGGCGTGGCGAGCGAGGCTTCCGGATCGCGTCGTCGTCCCGGCGGTGGGTGATCAGGCCACCGACCGGGGGCGGGGCGCCGCCCGAGTCCCGCAGCGGAGGCCCGCGGCCGGTGTCGGCCGCTGGCAGCAGAGTGGCAGAAAAGCGGGCAGGGCGGCGCGCTGCCGCACCCGATTCGCTGTTATTCCCTCAGCTCCAGTTGTTATTACACTGCTTATGATGCGTATGTGCCGGACCATGATTTATGTGGCTTTTATATAATAAACGATTTATTTCGGACTGTGCGCTGGACGTTTTTCCTCCAGGAGTAGTCTGAATGTGTGTGCTGGTGGATTGGATCCACGTCAGGCAGATACTGCTTCACGTACCCTGAAACCAAGCAAGCTATGTCGCTCAAGTTCGTGAGGCCATCTCGCCTTTGGCCTTGTCAGCCAGATGGGGCCGCCAGCGAGACCGGTTCGCGCCGACCATTGTTACCACTAAGTCACTGCCCTTGTCAGCCAGATGGGGCCGCGAGCGAGACCGGTTCGCGCTGTCCATTGTTACCACTAAGTCACTGCCCTTGTCAGCCAGATGGGTTCGCGAGGGAGGCTGGTTCGCGCTGTCCATCGTTACCACTAAGTCACTGCCCTTGTCAGCCAGATGGAGTCGGGAGGGAGACTGGTTCGCGCTGTCCATTATTGCCACTAAGTCAATGACCTTGTCAGCCAGATGGGGCCGCCAGGGAGACTGGTCCGCGCCGTTCATTGTTACCACTAAGTCACTGCCCTTGTCAGCCAGATGGGGCCGCGAGTGAGACTGGTTCGCGCTGTCCATTGTTACCACTAAGTCACTGCCCATGTCAGCCAGATGGGGCCGCGAGCGAGACTGGTTCGCGCCGACCATTGTTGCCACTAAGTCACTGCGCGCTGGGCCGACACCGGCCTGCTGCGGACCCACCTGTGTCGACTGGGTCCAACAGTGCACTACGGCGCTCGTTCCCAATGTTCCGGGATTTCCAGTCCGGCGACTTCCCCAGGGAGGACGAGGCGAAGCAGTCCTCTCCTAGAAGGGCGATCGAGTTGCTACTGCGCAGAGCCGCAAACGACGTCGTTACAAAACATCATTTGACTTCGCGCCTTTTGTGCCCTCTTGGGTTTCCGCACCATTGTTCTGTGCCTCTTGCTGCGAAATCCCAGAACAGAAGAGCGTTCGGAGCGTGACTTATGAAGACTACCAGAGGCTCACTTCGTCCCGGTAACGCAGCTCGATAAAGCGCCTGGCTTCTGATGCACTCACCCGTGGCGGCGTGGGTTCGATTCATTTTAGGCGCTGCTTTTTGCCCTTGCTAGATATGATCTGCGGTCGGTGGCAGCAGCCGTGCGAAATGTCAGGTGACGTTAGAGGGTAGGACGGACCGTGCCGAGCATGACGACGCCTAAACCGCTCGGCACCAAACTCTGCCGCTGACCTGGAATTGCACGATCGGATGGAAGGGACATGGCTCACACAAGTACTGCTCAGCGTGTGTTCTGGTCCCAGAAATTCAATTTAAAAGGTTTGGACAAGATCTTTTTTAAAAAATGGGCTAGGTTTCTGGCTTAAATGCGCGGCAGTTACCTGATCGCTGTTAGCTTTCGTGCACGGAAGCAAGTGTGTGAGGCATATGACGCACCGGTACGAAATTCGAGCTGGACATGAGATATGATATGTCGGTGTAAAATTCCACCTGTGTGCGTAATTGGCCGCATTCTTCGGAATGCAGCGACTTTCGAAGTCTACAGTTTATCCCTCCGTACGGCCGACAACCGACACTCCAGCGCTGCTCGGGGCTGTTTACATTAGTCTTCGCGGCCGGGCTGCAGCAACCCCGTGGACACGCGCTGTCGTAATCCTAAATTGGCTGAGCAGTGTCCCGACCTGTTCGCTCTGACTCGCGACGCACGCCCAATGTAGGCTTGGTCGCGCTTGAAATGTCTCCGCGCGCACTGTGCCGATGCCTTCTTGTCGCCTTCGTCGTCATCATTGCCACACGACCAACACGCTGCGGTACACATTAAAGATTTATTAAAGTTTGGGTCTGCCAAACAGAGATACAGTAGATACATAGTATAGCAAAAGGTATTGGCGCACGAACTGAACGGAGGGGGTGGAGCGGGGGAGCGGCGCGGGCCAGCGCGGCGCGACGGCGGCGCGAGATCAGCGGTCAGAGCTCGCCGCCCGGCCGCCCGCTGAGGCGCCTCTGCGCCACTGGCCACGCTACAAGCCATGTCGTCTGACTAGTAAGAGGGGGCGCGGCGCGGCGCGCGGCGGCGGCCGGGGCGGCCGGCGGCTGCTAGAGCTCCAGCCGGGGTGCCGCGCGCCGCCCGGTCGGTGGCCCGGCGCGGGCCGCGCCGCCCCGACACCTAACAACAACCACACGTCTATACGAACACGGAATAAGTGGCGACAACGGCTCGTGGGAGAGCGGGCGGCGCCAGCGCGACGGCGGCCCTCTCGGCCGTGGGGAGACGCGACCCAGAGGGCGGCGCGGTGGCGGCGCCCGCCCGCCCCGACACGCACACGCACAACGACGACCACTGACGCGCTCTCACGCATCGGCTCTACCAGAGTAACAACAGCGGCGGCGCCGGCCGCCGCCTGTCGCGGACACAGACGGGGCGGCCCGGCGTGCCGCACTGCGCGGCCACGGCGCCGGCCGTGCGCGCCGCTAGAAAACGCCACGAAACCTCCGTAAAACCAAGTAGCAAAAACAATCTAAAAGTATAACAAATCATCTCGAGAAGGGCGGGCGGCGGCGGCCGGAGAGAGCGACCCTGTAGCGGTCACGGCAAGGTCATGGGTCGGACGGCCGCGGGTGAGAGCGCGGACCGCGGGCGCAGCACGAGCAACAGCTACAACACGGGGTCGGCAGACGGCACGCACGCACACGCACTCGGAGCGGCACAGACAGAGACAGAGAGAGGGAGAGAGAGAAAGGGAGAGACAGCGAGGGACACAGACAGGCGGCAAGAGGGAGACTAACGGGGGGGGGGGGGGGGCGGCCAGCCGCTGCCGGCAGGGCGGCCGCCTCGGTGCGACGCCGCTCACAGTCGGTGCGTGGCATAGTCGGCGTTCACGAACGAGAAGCCGTCGAACTCGGTCTGGTTGATCGCCTTGATGATGTCCACATTGATTGGGGTCAGATTCGGATCCTCCTTGGTGAACTCGGCGTCGAAGTTGACGGCGTCCTTCTTGCCCTTCTGCGAACGCAATAAGACGCGTGAGAACGGGATCACCTGATCACCTCCCTCTCGAAACACAGCAAACAATTTTTTTGTGTTTGTTTCTTTCTTCCTATGTTTTGTTTCTCATGCGCCATGCAAAGCTAGCGGTCATAGCTACGCATGGAGAAAAAAGAATCTCCGTCTTGACCATGCTCCAAAAACTTTCCTGGATTTTCCCTCGCAACGAATTCATCATCTGCGATAAACACCCGCAATGGCAGTGCCGGACTTCCTTCTGGAGAATTTCCAACATTCCGAATAATTATCAGATTATATGCCGACCGAATGCGTCCCAAAACACACCTATACTTGGTTCGCGATAAATTCCAATGATACTTTGTCTCGCAGACCTCTTGGGCTCCCACGTCTGATGTGTTACATATAAGCCTTCCGCCCCACAGGCGAGGAAAAATCCAAACATATAAACATAACGTCAAGTGTCCGACATCGAAACACTTAATCACTCGGTAACCCCGGCAAAGTACTGCCTCCGATTGGTGGAAGATGTGATGTCTTTCCTTACGCCACGGAACCCTGACTTCTCGGCGTAAGACATCCACATTTGTCACCACAGTGGGCGTGGACCTCGAATCCATCACCCTTTAAAAAAGGAAAACAGCACACGAACTTTTTCCGTGTGCGCAACGCCAGGCAGCGGCACACATCCGCCCTACACAGCCCCACCGCCCAGCACCCCGGCTTGAGCCTCAGCACACACACACACTATCAACACCGTGAGCGAGGCTGGCTCCGTTAGGGCGAGGCGCGGACTCGCGGCCGGCTGACCCGGCCGGCCACCCGGCGGGGGACTCGTATTCTGGGTTGCTCTGTTCTTTACGGACCTCCGAGCCCCCGCCCCCTTCGCCCCCTCGGCCACGGCCGGCCGTTTCCCAGGAAGCTGGTGTGACCAGCGCGTGCGGCCCCGAGGGCGCTCCGGTTCGGTGCGCGACGCCGGCCGCCGGCCGCCGGCCACCGGCCACTCACTATTTTCGGTTTGAAGGGCGGCTTGACGCGGCGTGCCTCCAGCGCGTCCCAGTCGATCTCCTTGAAGAAGGGGTGCGCTTGGATGGCCTCCTCGCCGCCCTGCGCCAACACGCAGCCCAGCCGCTTGGCCGGGTTCTTGGTCATGAACTGCGGGCACCGGGCGGCGGGTCAGTGGGGACGCGGCGCGTGGTCGGGGACGGGCCCAGACGCGCACGCTGCGATCGTCAGACCGCGCAGCGTCAGCGAGATCACCGTCCACACAGGCAGCTTCGGTTGCAGCAGCGCATGAACCAGGACAAATCAGGGACGCCTGCGTGGCGTAGCGCGACGCGAGTGGATAAAAACGGGTTGAAATTTAGGGTGCAGTCGCTACGATATTCAGAATCAATCTCACATACGGCGCCAATGTCCGACTCAGTTGCTGCACCTACTGAGGCAAAATGGCCGGTGGGAGGTCCCGCCACGTGCAGGTTCCGTCGGCTATTGGTAAGGACAACCACGGCCTTGAGACCCTGGGTCACCGTCGACGCCAAGTAGTCCCGTTAAACAGGGACGAGTCTCGGAATTGAAAATCTCAAACGCTAAACGCACGGTCCCTGATTACAGACACAACAAGCTACGCCTGGCCACACTACATCTCGCTGCATAAACACTTCGCAAACCGCCAATTTGCTGCCCGTGACATTCTATAAACATGCTCATAGCAAACGAAACAGATCAGTCCCTACACGCAGTGTTATGAATGTAATAAAAGTAGAAGCGGTTTTGATGTCGGTAAGCTCTTTAAAGTCCGCCAGCCCTTGCGATGTGAAGGCTTGTTTCGACGCTGACCCAATGACACCTTTCAGCTGGTCCGAACAGACAAACAGCATGTCGCCGCAGGGCTTCAAATGATTCGACCAAACATGTAGCGCGGTTGTGACCTTCAGACTGCCAACCTAGACCCCCGTCCCACCGCCGACCCCACAGCCTCGCGCGGTCGAGTCGCCCGCCCTGTCCTGCGCGGCGCGCGGACGGGGCCCGCGCCGTCCGCCCGGCCGGCCGCCGCCGCCAGCTGCCGGTCGGCTGCGCGGACCGGTCGGAGGGTCGCCTCACCGGCTGTGTGGAGCGGCCGGGCGCGACAGCCCCCGCGCGCCGCGGGCCGGCCGGACCGACGCCGCAGGCGCCCGCCTGCCGCCGGCCGCAGGCGGCACGCACCGCGACCGACGCCAGAGCGGGCGACACTGCCGGAGGACGCTCCTGAAATACACTCCTCACAAGCGAGCCTCGGGACCGTAATAACGTCCAGCCGCCAGCCGGCGAGGCCGGTATTCGGCAACGGGCCTGACACGCCACGTACCCCCTTCAGTATGGAGACGGCCTCGCGGCTGAGCCAGACGGGGTAGAGCACGTCGTCGTGCAGGATGCTCTCGAACAGGTCGTCCTCGTTGTCGGCCTCGAACGGCGGCTGGCCGGCCATCATCTCGTACATGAGCACGCCGAGTGCCCACCAGTCGACCGAGGCGCCGTAGTCGAGCTCCTGCAGGATCTGGCGACGGCAGGCGCGTCCGTCAGGCCGCGCCAGGAGGCTGCGCAGCTTGGGTCTGGGTGCTGGCAACGCTTCACCACACGCGGACAAGCTAGCCAGTGAGGGGCAGAACGGGACTAGCAGGCCAGAACAGCTGAACTGGCTACGTCCGCGGACGAGCAGAACTCTTGGTGTGAATAGGCCGTCTAGTTTGGTCCGGGTACAACAGAACAGTTCAGACGACAGGGAGCGAAATGTTCCAGCTGTTACCACACAAGTATGCAGCTGTGCATTATACAAGCACGATCTGCTGCGCTGCCGCTGCCCACGTCACTAGCACCGACCAATGAACCTGCGTGAATCTCGCCCGGCCTAGCTCGCAGACATCACAGAGAGCAGCAACGCATCACGGCAGCGGTGTGGGCAGGACCAGTCGGTGCCAGCTCGGCCGCGAGGGCCCACCTCGGGCGCGATGTAGTCCGGCGTGCCGCAGAAGGTGTTGGTGGTCTTGCCGTTGGCGATGCCTTCCTTGCACATGCCGAAGTCGGCGATTTTGCAGTGGCCGTCGCTGTCCAGCAGGATGTTGTCTAGCTTCAGATCCCTGCAGCCACGGATGGAATCGCAGGGTGAGCGGAGTCCCGACACGGGCACAGCTATTCCGACCATCTACAGACACGTCCAGTCCGGTGAAGCCTCACACCAACGACCCGCGCTGAAAGTCGCGCAGCCTTGCCGAAGCCGATCCAAGGTGGAGAAGGCGAGGCGATACGTGACGCTTGCCGAATGACAGGATATGTGGTGTTTCCTGTCCGCCCGCTAAGCTGCCGTATCGGCCGGGTCCGCGCCAATGCCCGGCGTCAACGAAACGGTGGGCTTCGTCGACAAGAAAGCCGACCATCGGCGGCCGGATGGCAGTCGACATGAACGTACCCGCCCAACACAAGGGGCGACCGGCCGTCCCCACATGTAGATTCGCTCGGTGCCAAGCGGTGCCACCTTCTCAAGTGCACGACCTGCCCCCATCCCCCACGCACACGCACACACAGACACGCACAGGACTGACGCAGCCTGCTCAGCGCGCCATCCGACACCGGGCGCGAGCCTCTCACCTGTAGATGACGCCGTGGCGGTGCAGGAAGCGCAGCGCCAGCGTCACCTCGGCGGCGTAGAAGCGCGCCCGCGGCTCGTCAAACTTGCGCGACCGCTGGATTTGGAACATCAGATCGCCGCCGTTGACGTACTCCATGACGAAGAACAGCCGGTCCTGCGCGCAAGCGGGAGCGGACGGCGTTGTGAGAGGGCCGGCCGCCAGCGCCGGCGCGGCAGCAGCAGACGAGCACGGCCAGCGGCACCCGTTACAGCGAGATGAGCGGCGAGGTGCGGCATCGAACGGCGCGCCGCCTTCGGGCGCAGTCCCGGGGGGACCACCGACGGGCGGGTTGGCGCGAGAGTGAGCTTACCGCCACGCATCGGCGTGGCAACGACGACAACAGGCGGGGACAGAGGAGAGCATATGCGGAAATCCAGGCACCAGGCACTACCTGGGAAATCCAGGTGGTGCCAAATAATGTTTTTTATGAGCATCCAAGGTGTATGGCGACTCGGACTTCGACATCTAAGGGCGGGTCACTATGAGTCCAGAAATATCGCCAGCAGGCTTAACTATGTGGAGCTACGTGGCTGTCCCACGGCACTATAATCCGCCCTCGGAAAATGCATCTTTATTACAAAACAAGCCGCCGTAAAACAAACTACGGCACAACACCTGCCCCTCGAGTCAATTACGCCAAATTTGATACCCAGTGTTACGAAGTGCAGGACAGAAGTGACGTGCGAGAAGTCGGGGTCGGGAGTCCAGACAGGCGAAAACCCTAGTCCTGACGCCCTGCGGTCCAGGCGGGCGCCCGCACCACACACTCGCCTTCGTCTGGAAGCTGGAATGCAGCGCCGTCAGGAAGGGGTGCTTGGCCGACAGCGCCAGGATCCGCTTCTCGGTCATTGTGCACTCGACGTCGTCGTCCTGCACGATCACGTTCTTCTTCAGCACCTGCGGCGGCAGCGGCAACGTTAAGCACTCCTTGCATGAGACGAGGCTCGCTCAGGCCTGATGTTACCGGACAGTGTGCATCAGGAGCGTCCACGAGGGAACGACTGCAGGTGGCATCAGAACCCAGACCAGAAGACGGCACATTACCGACGAATGCAGCTATTTTTTAGTGTGTCGTGGATCCATTCATACACATCATTTAAGAAGGATAAAATGGAAATAAAATGACTATAACGGAGGTGGACTACACGACATGAAATGACTGAACAAGAGTGGGTCTGCCAAAATAGTCTTCAACTTGTATTTTCCACGAAACTGAAGGAAGTTGTTTCCAAAAGCAGTATGTCGTCCCAACAGATCCCCAACAACTGAAATGCTGCTACTTTTGTGTTTGTCTGGTCAAACACCCACAGCCGAACTGTTGACATAATGACAGCACCATTGCCGCGTGCTCGCACCCCTGAGGACAGCGCCAATACTAAAACTTTGCGCAATTAGCGCAACACAAAGGCAAAATTTCCGACAAGCAGAGCGACACCACAGGAACCCGACAAGCACGCCGTAACTTTCTGCATCTTCAGCTAGAATAAAATCGTAGGTCCCAATCGCATTACGTCAGGGCCTCTGCAACTCTCCCGTTGGCAGCAGACCGTCCCGGCCGACCGATGTAATGCACGGCCGGCCGACAGCTGCCCGGGCCAAGTTCCGCCCATACCACCGGCCCTGCACCGGCCAGTGCTGACCTTGACGGCGTAGATCTCGTCCGAGCCCTTCTTCTCGGCCAGCATGACCTTGCCGAAGCTGCCCTTGCCCAGCACCTTGATGAAATGGAAATCCTCGATGCCCATGCGCCGGGCGTGTGCCTCGGCCTTCAGGTTCAGATTGGAGCGGCCGCCTGCGGGGCCGGTCAGCCGGGGTCAGCGAAGCGCGGGGGTCAGCCGGAGATCAGACACCGCTGCCGCCGAACGACGGCCAGCGACCAGCTCACACGCCGAGTCCAGACGGAAGCATGACCCGTGAAAACACGGCCGGACACGTAAACGACATATTTGAAAACCGGCCCAGTTTTGGTGTTGTTACAGCTCACCAAGCCGGCGACGCGTGCGACGGAACATACAGACGATGGTGCAAGCGCGCCAAACGGGGCGAGCGTTTGGCGCCGAGTCAAGGTCGCTTGGCACAGCGCTCTGTGTACGCCGTCGCCACTTGTGAAGCCGTCAGCAGGACGCCGGTGCCCCGTCCAAGCCGTCAGCCTCGGCATTACCCAGCCCCGTGGTGTTGCTTAGGGACGCTGCATAATAATGACCCCGGGTGCTCGGCTCGGCTCGGCACGTCCGGCAGCGCCGTCCTGGCTCCACGTGAGCGTCGCTCTCTCACGGGCCCGCTAATCCAACCCTCCCTCCGCCTGTTCAGCTTTCATTAGCCACCTGGCGCGCCTTGCGCGGGCGACGCCGCCGCTGCACTCTCGTGCCACGGGGCCTCGGCCTCGGGAGCGTTCCCCCGCCCATAGAGCCCTGCCCCAGTACGCGTCTCCCGCCAGCTCCATGTGTCCAGGGTCCCCCGCGCCAGCTCCGGTCTAGCGCGCACGCGGCACCCACCCTTGGTCTCGTGTTTGTGCGGCGCGGTGCCGCCCTGCTTGGCGTCCATGGCCTTCTCGAAGGCGAGCCGCAGCTGGAGCTCCTCATCCTCGGCTGAGCGCTGGCCGCCCTCCTCGCCCTCGGGGATGGCCGGCGCCGACGGTGACGCGCCGGCCGCGTTCTTCGTCTGCTTCGTTACCGATATCGACGTCTGGCGGTGTGGAGGGCAGCGGATGCGTCAGGCGGGGGCAGCCCGGGAGCCGGATGGGGCGGCCACAGCTACACAAGCGGGCAGACGGTAGCCGCAGACGGGTGAACAGGAATCGGTCGGCGGCGGCGGGGGCGGTGGTGTGACACGTTCGCAGACGGACACCAGAGACAATACATCGCCGCGTGTAACCGACAGCAGCACTGCCACTGCGAATGAACCTCTCCGGGGTGCGGGCACCTCCGCCGATGCAGGCCGGGCGGCGACGTCAACAAGCCCGCACGAGCAGCAGGCCAGCTGAGCGTGAACTCGGCATCGAATCGTCACAGCGCGGGCTCCCGGCTCGCAGCCAACGGACGGCCGAGGAAAGGGCGCAGCGGACAGTACACGGCTAGCACATGATTTGCCTCACCACGCACGTTAAGGACGCCACGCACATAGCGTCGGTCAGTGTATATGATGGCATAGATGACGCGTTCGCTCCGGCAAAGGCACCGCAACGACAGCGCGTCCAAGTCAACCACCGCACCAGAGTAGCCTGGCAGCCAGGGCCAGATAGTGCTGGCCGGGCATGTACCTTCTTCTTCCGCTGATTGAGCTTCTGGGAAGAGACGCCCATGCGGGTGAGCATCTCGGCCAGCTGCTTGGTGTTGATGCCGCAGTTGTTGGCTACATTCCGCTGGCATCGTTTGTGCACGTTGAGGTTGCACGCTGCGGGCGACAGAAGACAGGGTCATCAGAGGAGGCTCCATGGCCGAGAGCAGACACCGCCCCAGCCGGAAAGCCGTGGCCGCGGGTCGACCACGCCGCCGCGAGCCGCAGTGTCCCGCAGGCACGTGTCCCGCAGTGGGCGCTTTGCAGGAGGCTCGTCACCATGGGCACTTGGTCACCGGAGATCTGCGCTTCCCACCGCAGAAAGAAGGTACGGCGGACATACTGGCCTTACATCGCGGCCTATTCAATGCTTTGTGTGCCGAAACTGGGACTCGCAATGTTAGGTTTCACTGGCGCGTTAGCCAGCTGATGGCCCGGATTCTCGGCACGCTGCGGCAGCCCCTCACCACTGCACTGCAGGCCCTGCTTGATGAGACCGTACAGCAGGGAGCCGCAGTGATCGCAGAAGGTGAAGCGCTTGTAGTTGTGCTCCTCGAACCTGTGCGGCACGTTCACGCTGAACCGTTTGTCCAGACCCTGCGAGCGACACGACCGGTGTGAGGACGGCTGGCGGCGCAGAGAGTCGCCAGTGCCTCAGATAGCGCGCCGGCAGCGGCCCGACCGGCCAGGGTAACACCCACAGCCTCGCCGCGCGACAGCGTGCTGGCTTACGGGCCAGCTGCGGGGAAAACACCGCGGCCCAGGTTCCGTTGTGTTGTTAGCATTACATTAGGCGGGACAGACGGGGGCCACGAGAGGGCACCCGTGGCTCAGCCAACGCCTGTATCGCGGCGCACGGCTGGGACGATAAAACATAAGGTGTGAGGGAGCTTCAGGTTCAGTGCTGTGGTTCCAAGGCGAGCAAGCATCCTACGCCAACCTTAGAAGACACGGACGAGGCTACTCCGGATACACCAGAACCACTGTTTTTGAAGACACTGCCCCGAGGTATCCAACCAGTTTGACGCATGTACACGATGTAGTTATTTGAAACCACTTGGCGGGGTGGGACGATGGTAAACTAACGTGCGGTTCCGGATTAACGGATAGTAAACCAGCGTGATAGTCTATGCGGCCTGACGTGTGCGTATTATCATAATCACCCACCCGACAGGAGACCGCGGCACCCCGCCATGTCCAAGGTGAGCAGGGTCCCATGCATTTGTAAAAGCCACGATTAATTTACGGCAAATCCGTTTTAATCGCACCGCGAGCACCGGCCACTTGACAGACGCCACCCAGCGTCTTGCATGGTCAGATCGGCCTTGTGAACGCACGTATCGCAGTGCGCAAGCACGACGAATTGGGAAACACCTAAGACGGACCCATCCCTCTCCCCAAAACATCAAGCGAGCCGCCAGCACGGCCACCGGGCCACCACTGGTGGGAGTCCGGACCGAGCCCCTCCCCGAGAGCCGCAGTGGTGGACTCGGTGCGGGAGAAGTGTCAGTCGGGGCGGCCGTTGATGGGGGCCCGCACCGAGCCCTTCCTCGATAGCCGCAGTGGCGGGCTCGGTGCGGAGAAGTGTCAGTCGGAGCAGCCGTTGGTGGGGGGCCCGGACCGAGCCCTCTCCCAGATAGCCGCAGTGGTGGGTTCAGTGGGGAGAAGTGTCAGTCGGGGCGGCCGCTGATGGGGGCCCGGACCGAGCCCCCTCCCCGATGGCCGCAGTGGTGGGCTCAGTGGGGAGAAGTGTCAGTCGGGGCGGCCGCTGATGGGGGCCGGACCGAGCCCCTCCCCGATAGCCGCAGTGGTGGGCTCGGTGCGGGAGAAGTGTCAGTCGGGGCGGCCGCTGATGGGGGCCCGGACCGAGCCCCCCTCCCCGATAGCCGCAGTGGTGGGCTCGGTGCGGGAGAAGTGTCAGTCGGGGCCGCCGTTGATGGGGGTCCGGACCGAGCCCCCTCCCCGATAGCCGCAGTGGCGGGCTCGGTGCGGGAGGAGCGTTAGTCGGGGCGGCCTCGCGAGCCTACCTCCTCGTCGAAGGTCTGGCGCACGCCGATGCAGCGCGTCACCACCAGCTCGTGGCATCGCTTGTGGACCACGCACGTGCACACCTGGCACTGATAGCACTGCTTGCCCAGTCCCCTGGCGAACGAGGAAGTTGTCAGTGCCCGCAACTAACCTGGAGCCCGCCCCCACATAGGACATAAAATATCTACAGCGCCCACCGCATTCATACACCACACATTTTGGTCGGCGTTCGCGCGGGGAAAAAAATGTGATGATCCGTGGGGTGCATCACGCCGCTCTTCGACTCTCCGCTTGCATCAGTCTGGGCGGCCAGGCTTTCCACCAATCAGTGACACCCACGCCGGCCCACACGCAACGTCATGAACACGGCATGACGTCACCTCCACGACCTCAGCGGCGCACCAGTTTGCGCAAGTGGCGCCGGCACCCGGCCACATCCGCCGTCGCTGCCGCCCACTGACGCCCGCCCTGGCCAGCCCACTGCACTGACCAGATGAACTCGCGGCAGTGGGAGCAGAAGGCCGGCTGACGCAGGATCGTGGCCATGAACTTGTGGCCGTTGACCTGGTGCACGCGTCGCCGCATGGCGCCGCGGCGCAGGCGGAAGCCATAGTCGCGCTCCTTGAACTCGCGCTTGGGCGCCGCGCGCGAGCCATCCTCGTTGTCTGTCGGCGTCAGAGAGGCGTCAAACAGGCGGCGAGGGGCGTTATACAGGCGACGAGGGGCGTCACACAGGCGGCGAGGGGCGTCATACAGGCGGCGAGGGGCGTCATACAGGCGGAGAGGGACGTCAAACGGGCGGCGAGGGGCATCGCATCGTGTCAGATGTGCTCAAAGGGTGTCAGCGAGGTGTCACGAAAGTATTGGGAAGATGTTGATACCCCTAAGGCAGCTTCAGAGGTGTCGAGAAAGTGGCATGGTGTGCTCGGCATTTTCGGTAGGGCTCCTGCATTTTTAGGACGAAGGCATCACCGAGGAGTCGAGGGAAGACCAGCGACAACGGGGTGTCTGGGAAGAGCTAAGCGGCGGAATGTGCACAGGATGGTTACCCACTTCCCACCTCCCTCTCGTTTTCTCTCCCTTTGAAGAACCCTTACATTAGATCACGACTATACATAGCAAGACACGAGAAACGAGTCAAACGTATCCCTGCGTTTCACTCTAGAACAACTTGGACTGGTTAATAGGCTTCTGACAACATTGTCAGTGCATTTTCTAACACCCCACCGAATAGGCAGTGAAAATGAAAAAGAAAATGAGTTGTTTTGTCATGCGTAGCTTTGTTATTACCACACAGCAGCTAAAAAAGCGAGCATACAGCTGAAAACTGGTCCACGACTCACCTTTGGCTTTGGTAAGGGACACCACAACGTGAATTTTGCCCTGGGGCTCCAGCATGACCTGCAACAAATGGACATACTTAGCATGCTGTTGCTCCCTGCCACTGGCACCGTGCCGCGCCACGGGAAAGGGATACCTAAAGGTCCAGCAAGGGCCAATCAACAGCAGCTGTACGCAGAATCCACACCGGCACATATCTGTTGGCCAGGTGGCTCAAAGTGGTCTCCAGGCACACATCGTTTGCCTGAAGATCAAAAAAGCTTAGGATTCGGCCCAATACGGGTGGAGCCCTATGGAAACTGGGTCCACCCTTGGGATCCAGGCACATCTGGTGCCCACGGTATTCTGGTGATGACTAGTAAGCTATAGTGCCGACATTATAAATTTGCCAATGCGCGATATGCCATCGTCCGTCATCGTCCCATAACCCACGGAACAAGCGCCCAAAGTTAATTGTTTTTGGATAAATCTGGGGCATGATAACGTGCGCACGCTTGTGCTTGTAGAACTGTGTCGGTACACGCCTGGTTTGAATCTGCTATGCAGCTTCATAACATGCTTTCAAGAAGCGTGCGCTTCCGATGAGCCCTGTCCGTCATTTTCTTATGCAGAGTTTCGTTATGAAATGAACACCATGACTATGAAAAACGCCATATATGGTATACTACGATTCTCTCATGGGAGTTCGTCAGTCCGCAAGAAACGAAAACTTATCGGGTACACTGTCTTGCACTCTCTTGTATATGCCTGAGAGTTCAGTTCAATGCAGCACGTGACTGTTCTTTGATTATCTTGGTTTGCCACGCGCCAGTCACGTGCATTATGGCAGTATCCCCAATGGAAAGAGCCGCGTGGTGATGTCCTAATGTGGTAGACCAGTCTCGCTGCGGTTACCTACAGGGCATCTGGCAACGTTGACCGATCACCCCAGGCGTCGTTCACTTCCACACTCCCGGGCGTCCGTTCCCCGGGGACTTTCCCTTCCTGTCACCAATTATAGAACCAGCCGTCTTGCGGTAAGTGTTGTAAGATATGCACAGAATACTGTGCCACACATGTCTGAAAGCCCGCACCCAACCGCTCTCGGGTATGACGTCACGATTCAACAGTAAACTGGTGATGTCAGCAGCGTGGTTAGGGTAGGCCGCCGTTGTCATAAGGGCTTTCTTAGCCCTTATGACGACGACGATATATGCGGGTCTGATCCCAAGGTATTTCCTATCTAGTCCCCAAATCGTTCCGCCAGAGCGTCGTAACTCAACAGCAAACTGCCTCTGTCGTCATTGTGGCTGAAGGAGGGGGCCTTGGCCCTATTTGTGTGTGTATGGGTGGGGGGGGGGAGGTAGACTCCAATTTTCCTAGTTGATCATACACACCGTTTCACCCAGAGCTCCGAATGTGATGTGACTGAATATGATGACTGATGTGATGGAATGTGATGATGTGAATGTGATTTTTCTCATCAACTTTGTACATCCTAACAAAACTGGGCGCAGGCGCGGGTGCGGGTGCGGGTGCGGGTGCGGGTGCGGGTGCGGGTGCGGGTGCGGGTACGCGTGTGGGTGCGGATGCGGGTGCGGGTGTGGGCGCGGGTGCGAATGCGGGTACCTTGCACTGCCTTGCTTTGTGACACGCATGTCAGGCCACAGCGCGGGCATTTTGGATGCAGGCCATTGTAGATTACCTCATAGTACTGCTGTAACGTCTAACCGAAACAGGCTTGCATGCCAACATAAATGTCAGAAATGGTCAGTTATCATATCTACAGAGCTGCTGGCCAATGGTATCCTGCCCAATATCCCTCATCCAAGACAATGTCTTCTTCATTCCCCTCCTACAAGTTGGCCGCATCCTTCCTGTAACCTGTGACATGCCGTAGGCTGAGTTCAGTTGTGATGCGCGATGACTGTGGCATTTGCAAATAAAACCAAATCATTCTATTTAAATGTCATAGCTTTTGGAAGCAACGAAAATCATACTAAACTGCTTTTCAAACACCTGACACCTTAAAATCTGTGTTTTCATGCCCAGGATCGCAGACTTCAAATCCCACACCACACTGGAGAATGCATAGAAACAGGTGGACACGCGTGTTTCCAAGCCAACACATAGCCGAACCCTTGGCGTATATCAGGATATCCCCGCGTCACAGATGTCTACCAACGACCGTCAATCAACCGAGCAGCACAGGCAGTGCCGGACTATCCGGGACGGTCGAGCACCGAAACACGACGTGGCATCTTGAAGTCGGCGCGCACGCTTACACCTCTGCGCGTGTCTCTCGAACTGACCACTTGAGGGAACGAGACATGACCATTTATGAATATGCACGTTCAATGAATCTGCACCGGCTTCCCTTAGCACGAAAGTCACCGCAACGTTCAGTACCGGACGCCGCCATCAGCTTCCCAACCAGATGCGAACGCTCACGCCGGTTAGCTCAGTTCACGACGCTTTCACTGCGTGAACCGGACCGTGCGAATTTACATTGACGGCTGCTGCCATGCGGGGCCGTGGCGCTATTTCAACAGCGCGTCCTGCCCCTGGGCCGCTGTTCAGCTGACGGTTCGCATGTGCCACGTGCTCACTTGAATGACCTCGCCCACCGTGTTAAGCGGGTTCAGTGGAGTACTGCATGACTTGAATACAATTATCCAAAAGTTTATCACACGGCAACATATCACTCAAGCTTGTCAGTACACGGGGTGTGGGCGCCTCTCATTCCAGCTATTCATATCTCCTCGAGTGCTGGGCGAAAGAGATGGGTGTTCAGGCAATGAGGTACAACCTCCTTATGTATCACCTCCTGGGCCTGCACGACCTTAATTAACCTTGTACCCTTTTGCCTTATCTAATTAATCAATGGCGACTTTTCATGAAGGTAGTCTGGCAACAATGTGGAAAACTGAGTCTATGACGTCATTCACTGTTTTTTGTTGAAGTTGTGCACTGATTGTAAAAACGGCTTCAATGGCGAAAACAATTCGGACACGACATTGTTGAACACGTTTTAGGCGATGACCTATGCCCAGATCCCAGAAATGAGCTGGTCTTCCACTGAACCAGCAAATTGAACCAACCCAATTGCTCACAACCTTGTGGCCAACAGCATGCTCATGTGCAGAGAGAGACAGGGGGGGGGGGGGCCTGGTGCCCCTTTCTGCTAAATCCTGCCATAAAGATATGTTTATACACCCAGCAATGACAAGATGGGAAAATGACATCATGCCAGCGGTGACTTCACAAAAGAATGTGATGCCAGATGTGGTTTGCTACAATGTGGTCTCCAAGCCAGTCATGCCTATAACCTGCCCGAGACAACCACACCTCACCAGCTGATCCACCCCATAGCTTTGCTGAATAAGTTGATTGGTTCATTCATATCATGCACATGTTGACTGGTCACACAAGATACCTAATGATGTGGTGCCAGTACTACAGTGGCTAAGCTGTGCACATGAGAAACCAAGGTTCAGGCTTGATTCTCCTAGTGTCAGCTTGCCTGTAAGGGTGGCATACAGGTACAAAAAACTCAGCTGATAAGTGCAACAAAAAGCCCCAATGATAAGAGCATACTTAACAAATAATGTGATGTTGATGGTCATTTGAGACCTGGCCAGACATTGTGCCCAAAAGTATCACTGGACAAATGGCCAGAGCCTAGCCAAATTACCTTCATTGCACTGCCAACTAAACCCATGATCATGAATTTAGGACATTTTGACAGAATGGTGAAAGCTTTCAATAATGCATAAGGCATGTGAGATTCCTTAGCTGACATCACAAACAAATCAATCCAAGTTCCCCAAAAGTATGAAAAATAGTTAATGAGCATCATCAACATTGCAGCCAGATGTTATGTTCTTGACCCAACTTTTGGGGCAATGCTCTGCAGTGCAGATAATTTTCTCAAGATATAAGGTTAAGCAGTCCTTTGATGCAGGGCTTTAAAATGATGTGTGTGCCTCACCATATTTTCTAGCTTATCAGGGCTGTGTATGTTTATGGAGCAGCATAGTTGCTTTTGACACTTCAGCTGTATGAGTCATATGACACAAAGAACCATAATCAAAAGTTGTATTAGCTTTAGTCATGCTATGACTACCAAGTTGCTTGATGACATATCCTCCTATTCATTGAGTAAATACACAAAGCTTGATACAGATAATATGAGGATATCAAAATTTGGTGGTCAGAATGATACATATTTGTGGTAGCTTCACTTGATTTCGGAATTAATTACCTGATCATATATCTAAGGTGAAGTTATTGTCTTAATGTCTTAATAAAATTTATTATTTATTCACACATGCAGTGCAATGTCAATACTAGATTGTTCAAGATGACATAATCACTTTCCCTGGTTAACATCATAACATATCAACCTGTTAGGAACCCTTATGGCAGACAGTTCACTGCTTTCCAGTAGTTGTCTCTACTAAATAGGCAATAACAGTTCACTGCTTTCCAGCATGTATTCCCACTAAATAAACCACAAGTCATGTTTGTCGAGAATGCTAAAAATATACTATTCTGGGTGAATAAAACTGGGAACATTTTTTGTTATGAACAAAATAAAACATGCCCATCACCCATAATGAGAAAACAATTATTTCAAGCTACCTAACAGAAGTTAAGATAAAGCAAGGTACCATAAGCATTGCTCTCCATTCCAGTGACTGGACCATTAACTTTATTCTGCAACTCAACTCATACTGTAGGAGTACCAAAACATGGTAAATGCAGAGTTGAGTGAGATATGTGTAATGCAAACCAAACTTTGGTCAGACTTAAGCACACAACAGCAAACTGTTGCAATATCAGCTTATTTGAACTTCACTATTACAACTGTCAAAACATGTAGAAAAATGTGACAGTATATGTACATCCACAGGTGATCAGACATGGAGATTTAATACATTACCAATCACAGCTATTCAAGCTGATTACAGCACTCACATTCAATTACACCCAGTTAAGCAATATTCTCATTCAATTACACACACCAATATATTACTCAAGAATAGTTACATCACTTAGGATGTTTCTTTTTCAAGAATTTAGCCCTTCACAAAACATGAGCTTAAAATTCATGTTAGTCAAAGCACTTCCACTGGTCAGCAATAAAGGTACATAGTAAGGTATTATCAAATAGCCAACTATGCTGGAAACAGCACATGTTAGGACTTACCCAGATATCTGCCTTCTTGTCTTCCACATCTTCAAATGGAATAATGCAGTTTGCCACAAACACATCAGGAGGGATTGCAGCATCATGGAAAATTGTAAGCCCTACATTTTGTGCATTTTCACACTCTGTCTCAAAGGATTCATTCCAAATAGGACAGAGTGTCTTTGATTTTGAGGTTGATCTGTTTATATACTGTTCATCAACATCTATTGACACATAAGGATCTAGGCTTACAGTCTGCTCACCACCAGGTTTTATAGCTACATTGTGTCTTGTTTGAAAGTCGGTAGGCTTAAGATCTACAGCTTCGCACACTTTCAGAGTCAGTTTACCCGTAAACATGGGGATGATTCACAAAGCTCAACGATAAAAAAGAGTATGTATCACAGTTCACACTTCCAATGCCATTTTCAAGTCCAAGCTACTTCTTCATCTTCTTAGAAATCCCAGACACGAAAGAGTCCACGCACTTCAACGACACTCCCCCTCGGCCCCCACAGTCACACAACAGATCACTGGCCACCCGTCCCGATTATATTCGATCCACCCATTGCTGTGTGTAGGGGCTGAGAGTTTTCTCCAGTTTTCACAAAACGACTACCAGATTAGTACCTTCTACTATAAGCTAAAGGTCGAGCATTAGAGATGAAATATAATAGACGACATGAACGTAAAATAACGTCAAAATACACTTTTTTCAACGAATTTGTAATTTCAATCATACAAGATAATCAAACTATTTCATCATCATAGTACAAAATAAAGATACGAGAGGACATCAGTAGGATATATTAGTCTTAAAAGCAGAAGAAAACTAAGTAAAACATGGCGGCGTGCTCGGCGCATTCTGCTGGGCGCAGGTTCCTCAGAGACATACTTTTTTCGGTATCAAGGTGAGGACAGGGTGTTCTGTAAAACTGTGTAGAGCGATTAATGCATGTTTACAGGCTCATTTATCTCCTGTCCGTGCATTTGTGAACGAGCATGTAAGAGCAGCTGCGTCTGTTTCGAAGCAGCCGCGCGCTTCACGTTTTGTTTAACGTTCGTGTGGATAGACTGTTTATCTACGCGTCGTGTCGTCCGTAAATGGAGTTAAATAGTAGTTATGACTTTGGTTTTAGATGTTTCTTTTATGCAATGCAAGAAAACCAAGTAATAGCTCCGGAAATGAAGTAGTCTTCCCCCTGCCCATCCCTTGTCCCCACCACTGCTACAGTTTGCTCTGTAGATTTATTTGTGATTAAATTGCATCAGACAGAACTAGAAAACTATAATTCTGATGCAGGAATTCAAATATCATTTGGTTGTGCTAACAGTTAAAGGTTCACAGCTTGGTAGAATGGTTCATCTGATGTGCATAGCATAATTTCCAGTCTGGAAGGTCTGAAGCTTTGTGGTTGAGCAATTTGGTTAACCAGGTAAATGTGCATGGCCAATAGCAGGATATTGGATCGAGCCTTACTTTTGTGGTCTTGCCATCTCAAACCACATTATCAATTATGTCTGATACCCATTTTTGTGTACACCATTTGCCAACAATTGGATTTCTAAACATTTGTTTGGAATGTCGTTAAGATTTTGTCTAATTGCATGCATTTAAAGCAATGATTGCTGATTGAAATATGTATTTGTATGTAAGTAAATTGGAAAGTAATGAGCTGAGGCAGTCGCAAATTTGATTAGCCGCTTCAAAGTGTTTTAGCCTAATAAACTATAAATTAAATACTGTAGCTTTTTCATGCAGCTATATATACTGCAAAATCTATTCAATGTGCAAGTTGTCATGTTACTTTTGAAATTTTATGGTGGTAGCTGACAACTGTGTTTTGGTGGGCTGATTAGCCAGTTAATGAGATTTTCCAGATCAAACACCAGAACAATGAGAGTCAAAGCCCACAGGGAGAAGAGTTAAACCCAAGCCAATGTTTCTCATGATATGTAGGTAAAATGAGATAAAGTCATGCTTTTAACACCAATATACAAGCATGAGACTGGGAATGGTGTTAGCTGAAGTTGGCTGAGGTTTTGCATGCTATGGACACCAACAGTTTGTGTAAGGTTTGGTTATGGTAGATCAGTATTTGCAATGGTGTGTTGTATGAGAGTTATTGTTCTGAGGGAAATTTAGGAAGATTGTGTCTGCATACTGCCTTTTTGTGTGGCATATAGGGGTTTAGTATGCAGGTGTAGGATTTCCACATTTTGTGTGACATTCTTCAGAAGAGCCTCAGCTAAGATACACACTCTCACTGTTTGACAGGCTGGCTCGCCTTTCAAGCACAGCCAGTCGCTCGGCCGCCAGCACGTCCCCTCCATCTGCCAGTTCGGCTGTCAGCGCGTCCGCTCCATCCGCCAGCTCGGCTGCGGCGAGCCCGGCCGACGGGTCGGACGACCCCGGTGGGGTGCGGCTCAGCGAGGCGTGTGTGCACCAGCTCCGCCGGCTGGCCGCCGACGGCTCCTGCCTGCGGCTGGCCGTCGATGGTGGCGGCTGCTCCGGCTTTCAGTACGTGTTCAGCCTGGCTGAGGCCGGTGCCGCGCCGCAGCCTGACGACGCCGTTCTCGAACGGGATGGGGCGCGCGTGTTGGTCGACCACGTCTCGCTCGGCTACATCCGCGGCGCCACCATCGACTACCACGAGGAGCTGATTCGGTCGGCGTTCCGCATCGTCGACAATCCGCAGTCGGAGCAGGGTTGTTCGTGCGGTGCCTCGTTCTCCATCAAGATTGACTAGTAGTGGTGTGCAGTGTGTGGATGGCAAGGGTGGGCGTGGGACGCACCAGCGCTGTGCTCTTCTTTCGGGCATGCTGCAATGTTGAACGTTCGGTTGTTATGTCTTGAGCGGTGACCCATTTTAAGCGTTTCGTCGCTGTGATACTCGCCACGTCCTGTTGGCCGAGGTAGGCGCTGGGCTATGTGTGATGACTTGCCTCGGCATGAGCTTCCGCGGTGTGCGAATATACGGCGGGCGGACTGTGTTGACGGCGTGATGTGCCGACGGCCTCCGCGTGTCCCGCTCAGACCTGGCTCATGCCGCTGCTCGGCAACCGACGGCGTTGCCCGCGGATCGAAACCGGGACGGGCACCGATCGCACTGCCCTCGACGGCGGTGGATCAATGATCGCCGCCGGCAGCAGCCCGGATTATGGAAAGAAATGCGATGGAACGAAGCACC